TGACAACCAATTCACCACTCCTGCAAATATACCAGGAGTGTGGGGGCAAGGTAAAGGGGCTGGTCTTGGCTGCACTGTACCCCTCTGATGATAGAAATAGGATGAGAGATGGCTAGAAAAGAAATGTATATGTGACAAGCTCATAGCTTTTGAGCAGATAAAGAACTAATAATGGGTTAAATATATGGATATTTTAAATTTAATTTCCTTACTGGGGATTTTTTTTGATTGCAGGTTATAATAGAACCTAATGTAGCATTCATAGCCTTGGCCAAGTTAGCATGACCTTTAAGTAGTGATAATCTGTCGAGTAGCTTTGAAGCGTGAAATATACTTTGTGGGAATTACCTATTTTCTGCTGTATTTTCAAGAGAAATCAAAGATATTTTAGGTGGCTCACATAGTGATACCTATAGCTGAGGTTGCTTGATGCATCCTATTAGAAGCATCTGAAAACAGGGTTGTATAACTTTGCCAAACTGTATCTATTTTGGGGCTGAAATTTTTCATGCTGGAATTCTGCCCAAGGCTGAATTTGTTTGGAAAACTTCAGCAAAAGTGGCTTCCTCCTTTCCAAGAATGATGCTAGAGAAAAATATTTTTTGTCTATGTTAAAAAAAAAATTGCATAACCATTGTATTGAGAAGCTTACGTGCTCCCCCCCCTTCCCCCATGCTTTGGAGCTGTGGTTCTTCAACCAGAGGTGGACCTCTGGACACAGAGGTCTTCCAGGGGCTACATCAACTCATGTAGATATTTGCCTAGTTTTACAACAGGCTACATAAAAACTAAAGTACAAACTAAAATTTCATACAGACAGTGACTTATTTATGATGTATATAATACTCTGAAATGTAAGTAAATATTTATATTCCAATTGATTTATTTTATAATTATATGGTAAAAATGAGGAAGTAAGGAACTTTTCAGTAATAATGTACTGTGCGACTTCTGTGTTCTTATGTCTGATTTTGTAAGCAGATAGTTTTGAAGTGAGGTAAAAATTGGGACAGATCAGACTCCTGAAGGGAGTACAGTAGTCTGGAAAGGTTGAGAGCCACTGCTTTGGAGCATGGACTTGAAATTTGGCAGAGAAGTGTCCTTGTGTCAAGAATGTGCTTTTTGCTGTCCCTGTGAAAATGTGCCCAATTTTGGCTGAATTATGAACCTCTAAAAATCTGTTTGCACGTGTTCAGTGGAGACTTAGGGCTTGGCTACACTTGCAAGTTAGAGTGCATTAAAGCAGCCCTGGGTGCCCTAACTCCTGATGGGTCCACACTGGCAAGGCACATAGAGTGCCTGGACTCCGCAGCTGGAGCGCTCCTGGTAATCCACCTCCACGAGAAGCATAAAGCTTGCTGTGCCCCAGCTGAAACGCCTGGGCATCAGTGTGAACGAGGTGTTGCATTACTGCGCTGTGATTGGCCTCTGGAAACGTCCCATAATCCCCTGAAGTCAAGTGGCCACTCTTCTCATTGTTTTGAAATCGGCTACAGGAATGCAGATATGCCCTTTCATAGCTCCATTTCTAACAACTGGCATGCTTACCTGCTCCGGGACAAAGCAAGCCATTAGTGTGGAATGCTGCTGTTGTGAGTGTGTGTGGGGGGGTGGCGGGGAGGTCTGCTGCTGTCTGAACTTACAAGACAGCATGCTGACATGCTCTCAGCCCCCCAAAAGCCTACTCTCTCCCCCCACATAAACACAACACACTCCCTGTCACACTCTACCCCCCTCCACCCCCATTTGAAAAGCACGTTGCAGCCAGTTGCACACTGGGATAGCTACCACAATGCACTGGTCTTTGTGGCATTGCAAGAGCTGCTAATGTGGCCACGTCAGTGTGCTTGCAGCTGACAGTGTAAACACACGGCAGCGTTTTCCTTGCTGCGGTCTCCGAAGGCTGGTTTAACTCCCAGTGCGCTACCTCTGCAAGTGTAGACATGCCCTTATTAGAGTTTGGCAGCTAAATTGTCTGAAGATTCCATCTACACCGAGCATGCTCCATCCCCTCATAGCTCCTGAGTACTGACTAGACTATATGTATCAACCCCACTGAGCAACTGATCATGATTTAATTGGGGATTGGTCCTGCTTTGAGCAGGGGGTTGGACTAGATGACCTCCTGAGGTCCCTTCCAACCCTGATATTCTATGATTCTATGATTCTATGCTTCGTCCTGGGGCTGCAGGGGCTGGACCAGAGCTGTTCATACAATTGCTTCTCTCAGCAGCCAGCTGATGCTGTGGCCTTGAGTGCCAGAATTCAGAGCAGGGAGATAATTCAACCCCCTTTTATATATGCATTATTTACAGTCTTTAATTACATGATCACAAACTATTGCACAAGCATCCTTAATTTCAGTATTTCCTAACTTTCGAGTGCTTGACTTTGTAACTGTAATACTCTTTTAACATAATTTTATTTTTTGAGTTGGGGGAGTGGCGAGGGGGATTCACGTACGCACAAAAACATAGTGTGTGTGTGTGTGTGTATTGCAAACCTGTTGTTTCTGCAGAATCCTATGAAGAGTAAGAAACCATATTTGGAGAGTTAAACATGTTTGATATCTGAATATATGAGTGAAATAAGGTTATTGGCACCATCTAATTCCATGGGGATTGGTGTGCACTGGTTGTACAACTGACTGTAGTATTTGCAAAGAGACCAAGGATTGAATGTTATAGAGCTTAAATAGCCCCTTCCCTTCAGTTGAGACATAGTTGGTAGTATGAGTTTTAAAAGCCATCATTGTAGCTGCCAATTCAGTACCTGTTCCATGGATAAACGGAGGAACTTGCTGTCCAGTCCTGTTGATCAACTACTTTTCCCAAAAAAAAAACAACTTTTTTTAATTTAAAAATGAAGAATTGCTTGAGAAAGAAACTGAACAGTTTGTAGGATTTAATATTTAGGCTCCTTGGGGTAAAACAGCTGCATTTTATTATTACAGTAAACATGTTGCAAATTTTTCCAGGGCCTTTGCTGTCTCATTTGAAACTTATCAGAGATTTAGCTTGAAGAACCAATCAAATCAGTGATTTGCCATAACTGGAAAAAATATTTATTATGTGCAATACATTTTATTTTCATTTTGGTTTAATTTTTATATCGATCACACTTAACCAGATTTAAGCTGCAAATATGTGTTCAAGACTTACATTGTCAAACACGTAGAAGTGATAGTATATTAAAATGTACTTATAGTCTGTGTGCAAAAGCATGCAGTGCTATCTTTTCATGCAAAGTGCATGCAAGGGCAAGAAATCCATTTCTCTAATACTGAATTGACTTCCAACTAGTGCAGGAATGGCAGAGCCAGGGAATTTAGAAAAGAAATATGCTGTAAAAGGTAATTGTCCTTCTGAATTAATTAACTCTAGTGACAAATGAGTGGCTCTTCACATGCAGCATGATATTTATTGCCTGTTGGTCTTTTGTAGAAAATATTATTTTTCTCTGTGTTGCTAATCTCTTTTCTGGAACTAGATTAATTTCCATGTGAAAGAGATAATGGCTATATTAATTTGTTTTATCAACAGCTAATCAAAACGCATGCTTTTTGTTTTCCTGTGGTGCTTTCAGAGGAGTGTAAATACTTCAGGCAAGACCTGTATTACTGTGGGTGGATAGTGAGTTTGGAACCATTTCATAAAGTCTGTGCAGCTTACACTCGCTAAAATATTTGATGCTGTATTTCTCTTCACAGCATTCATTTGTAGGATGTTTTTGTTTGCTTTTAATCTGAGAGATATGGGTACTGTCTAGGAACAGAAGTCACCTTCTACAGGACAGGCCCAACAAAGAAAATAACAGAACACCACTAGCCATCACCTTCAGCCCCCAACTAAAACCTCTCCAGCGCATCATCAAAGATTTACAACCTATCCTGACAAATGATCCCTCACTCTCACAGATCTTGGGAGACAGACCAGTCCTCACTTACAGACAGCCCCCCAACCTGAAGCAAATACTCTCCAGCAACCACACACCACACAACAAAAACACTAACCCAGGAACCTATCCTTGCAACAAAGCCTGATGCCAACTCTGTCCACATATTTACTCAAATGACACCATCATAGGACCTAATCACATTAGCCACGCCATCAGGGGCTCGTTAACCTGCACATCTATCAATGTGATATATGCCATCATGTGCCAGCAATGCCCCTCTGCCATGTACATTGGCCAAACCGGACAGTCTCTACGCAAAAGAATAAATGGACACAAATCTGACATCAGGAATCATAACATTCAAAAACCGGTAGGAGAACAGTTCAACCTCTCTGGCCACTCAGTAAAAGATTTAAGGGTGGCAATTTTGCAACAGAAAAGCTTCAAAAACAGACTCCAAGGAGAAACTGCTGAGCTTGAATTAATATGCAGACTAGATACCATTAACTTGGGTTTGAATAGAGACTGGAAGTGGCTGGGTCATTACACGTATTGAATCTATTTCCCTAAGTTAAGTATCCTCACACCTTGTCAACTGTCTAAATAGGCTATCTTTATTATCACTACAAAAGTTTTTTCTCCTGCTGATAATAGCTCATCTTAACTAATTACAGGTTTCAGAGTAGCAGCCCTGTTAGTCTGTATTCGCAAAAAGAAAAGGAGTACTTGTGGCACCTTAGAGACTAACCAATTTATTTGAGCATAACCAATTTAACTAATCAATTTATTTGATGCATCCGATGAAGTGAGCTGTAGCTCACGAAAGCTTATGCTCAAATAAATTTATTAGTCTCTAAGGTGCCACAAGTACTCCTTTTCTTTTTGCGAATACAGACTAACACGGCTGCTACTCTGAAAACTATTGAAATTGACTCACTCTGACAAATTTGTGTTATTATTATTAGACTAATACTGTGCGATCTTCCTGCTCTGATCTGAATGCCATTCAGTAGTATAAAATCTAATGATGCTAGTTAACTTTTTTTGGTGATGGAAATTGTGTGTCATCGGAAGCCCTAAGCACTCCTAACTATATTTTACAGCTTGGAGGTAGCAAACCTGACTCGTGCAGATGCTGATCTGGAAGCCTATCGAATGCAGATGTGCAAAGAGGCGATTGCCATGTTGATGAAGAACATGGTTTTCAGACACAATGTCTCTCCTAATGTGGAGAAAAGGATGGGTTCAATTTTCAAAAAACAATTTTTTGCAATGGAGAATGAAGTTCAGGAGGAGTATAGAAGAAAGATGGTGGCTTTAACTGCCGAATGTAATCTAGAGACTAGGAAAGAAATGGAGGTTCAGCACCAACGAGAGAGAGCTGCAAATGATGAGGCTGAAGAATTAATTAAGCGACTGAATGAGAAGGTAAATCAGGTATGAAAGTAACATAACAATTTGTATGGTTACCCTTTTCCTACTATTCCATGTTATTTTTCCTGTGGTTTCTCTTTTAGACTGTAATGGCCACACTGGTTTTGTTTTCTTGCTATTGTAGCTGCCTAGTGAGAATTCCAGTAGTCTTTGTACATTTCACCCCTGTTAACCTAAAAAAGAAAACTCCCGAATTATTGTTTCATATTTGTCAAACCTCATGACTTCGATTAAGAAGATGGCTCAGAAGGAGTAACCAACACAATTCATGATTTGCCACTGGTGCTGCGCTTCCGCATGAACGTGTATTCCTATATATTGAATAAAGAAAAGGAGGACTTGTGGCACCTTAGAGACTAACCAATTTATTTGAGCGTGAGCTCAGAGCAGAGGCTGTTCCTCTGAAACCTATGTATTGAATGTAACGTTGCTGCTGTTCAAGCTTCCCATTTTCCAGTGAGTTGTAGAGATAAAAGAATTCATATCAGGAACATATTCCCACAGACCAAGATGTGAAAACGTCCACCTCGGTGTCTTAAATTCTTTGTCACATGCTTGCATAGGCTACCAAAAAAAAATCATGTTTTATTTGAATGCAGTGTACTTGTTGTTGTTTAGTGCTTTTATGGTCGTTAATAAAACTGATTTTTTTGGAGAAATGGTTACTTTGATAAAAATGACCCACCAAAGATAATAGCAGCGTACAGGGGTTTGTGAGAAAGGGTTTGATGCAAGGCCTGTTGGATGGAGAAGTATTGTATGAGGATGCAGGTTGGTGCAGACCTGTTGAGCTCTTCCATAGGAACAAATAAGTATATGAGCTGTGACTCTTGGGAGGGTTTGCTTTTATTTTGACATATTTACACTAGCAGATAGGACTCAGCTGAAATTTGCTGGCCATGCCTCTCGTTGAAGCTGCTCCAGCTACCTTTCCTGCATTGTACCTTTTCTAGTGCTTTGTCCAGTTTGGTTTTAAAAGTCCCAAGTGATGGGAGACACTAAAAGATCCTGGCTTAAGGATAGGGGCTGGGGAAGAATTCAAAGCCAGACCCTTCAGTTCTTGTTATGATCCACTTATCTCCTTCCTCCCTCTCCTCTGCTTACCCCTCAACTGTTGTGCTCTTTGCACTCAGAGAAGCAGAGAGAAGTGGACTAAAATCTATAAAAGAATCTTTACTAGCTAGAGATACTATATTTCATGTCATTTACTTTTCCTCTGGAATGTGGAGGAAAGTGGCATTGCAGGGGAATAAAACGAAGCAATCCAAAGTGGAGAAATGTGGGTGAGACACCAGATGCAGAAGAAAAGGAGTACTTATGGCACCTTAGAGACTAACCAATTTATTTGAGCATAAGCTTTTGTGAGCTACAGCTCACTTCATCGGATGCATAAAGAGGAAAATGCAGTGAGGATGTTTTATACACACAGACCATGAAAAAATGGATGTTTGTCACTTCAAAAGGTTTTCTCTCCCCCCACCCCATTCTCCTGCTGGTAATAGCTTACCTAAAGTGATCACTCTCCCCACAATGTGTATGATAATCAAGGTGGACCATTTTAACAAGAATGTCTGAGGAACAGTGGGGGGGGTAGATGTGCAGGTGAACGAGCCTCTGATAGTGTGGCTGATTTGTTCACCTGCACATCTACCAATGTGATATATGCCATCATGTGCAAGCAATGCCCCTCTGTCATGTACGTTGGTCAAACTGGACAGTCTCTACGTAAAAGAATAAATGGACACAAATCAGATGTCAAGAATTATAACATTCATAAACCAGTCGGAGAACACTTCAATCTCTCTGGTCACGTGATTACAGACATGAAAGTTGCAATATTACAGCAGAAAAACTTCAAAACCAGACTCCAGCGAGAGACTGCTGAATTGGAATTCATTTGCAAATTAGATACAATTAACTTAGGCTTGAATAGAGACTGGGAGTGGTTAAGTCATTATGCAAGGTAACCTATTTCCCCTTGTTTTTTCCTACCTCCTCCCCCTCACCCCCCGCCCCCCCACTGTTCCTCAGACGTTCTTGTTAAACCCTGGATTTGTGCTGGAAATGGCCCACCTTGATTATCATACACATTGTAAGGAGAGTGTTATGGATAGATGAACGGGGCTTTTCTGTTGAATATTGAAAATATGATTTAATGTTAATATTATTTTATTTCAAAATAGCTGCTCATTTCAGATCACTTAAAGAAGAATGCGTATAGTAAGCATTGAATACATGTGAGCTTAGTCTCAGTAATACATTAGTCTCAGTAATATTGGTACTTTTAAAATATATTAAACACGGGTAATCATTTGGATGTTCTTGTTTTTTGTCCTCTCCCAGTCTGCTATAGAATACAGATGTCTTCTGGAAAAAATTCACAAACTTGAGCAGAGCCACATGAAGAGGTTCCTTTTGGTGAGGCAGGAGGAGTACTTTGCGAAAGCTTATCGACAACTGGCTATTTTCCAGAGAACAGAGATCCATAATATCTTTTTTACACAGATAAAAAATGCCATTTTCAAGGGAGAATTGAAGTTAGAAGCAGCCAAAGCATTAGTGCATGATTACTCTAAAATACAGGTAATGATGTAACTATTCCACTCTTTAACTTCTCAACAGATAGCGATCACATAGTAATGTTTGTGAAATGTTTCTCTAATTATCTCCACTTGTAGAACTTTGCCATGTTATCACTTTTATAACTGATTGACAATAGAAATAAGATGCAAAACTACAGTCCCATAATTTTGAAATTTTAAAGTCTAGACAAAAATTATTAATTCATGTACGTAACCGTTCCCAGTAATGATGGGAGTTGTGCATGTTCATTCAGGCAGTCTGTTCCGGCTAATTGGGTTTTACATTACAAATCTGAATAAAACTTGACCTGTTTTTTAAATTCTTCAAAGGTGCTTAAGTGACTTAGACCCTAAGACTTAAGATCCTAAGTTACATAGGCACTTTTGGAAATTTCACACTATATCTTAAAGTGAAAATTGCTCTAGGGAAAGAGAATGTTTTTTCAAAAAGAAAAGGAGTACTTGTGGCACCTTAGAGACTAACCAATTTATTTGAGCATGAGCTTTCGTGAGCTACAGCTCACTTCATCGGATGCATACCGTGGAAACTGCAGCAGACTTTATATACACACAGAGAATATGAAACAATACCTCCTCCCACCCCACTGTCCTGCTGGTAATAGCTTATCTAAAGTAATCATCAGGTTGGGCCATTTCCAGCACAAATCCAGGTTTTCTCACCCTCCACCCCCCCACACAAATTCACTCTCCTGCTGGTGATAGCCCATCCAAAGTGACAACTCTTTACACAATGTGCATGATAATCAAGTTGGGCCATTTCCTGCACAAATCCAGGTTCTCTCACCCCCTCACCCCCCTCCCAAAAACCACACACACAAACTCACTCTCCTGCTGGTAATAGCTCATCCAAACTGACCACTCTCCAAGTTTAAATCCAAGTTAAACCAGAACATCTGGGGGGGGGGGGTAGGAAAAAACAAGGGGAAATAGGCTACCTTGCATAATGACTTAGCCACTCCCAGTCTCTATTTAAGCCTAAATTAATAGTATTTGATTAATAGCAAATAGTATTAATAGCAAATGAATTCCAATTCAGCAGTTTCTCGCTGGAGTCTGGATTTGAAGTTTTTTTGTTTTAAGATAGCGACCTTCATGTCTGTGATTGCGTGACCAGAGAGATTGAAGTGTTCTCCGACTGGTTTATGAATGTTATAATTCTTGACATCTGATTTGTGTCCATTTATTCTTTTACGTAGAGACTGTCCAGTTTGACCAATGTAAACGGCAGAGGGGCATTGCTGGCACATGATGGCATATATCACATTGGTGGATGTGCAGGTGAACGAGCCTCTGATAGTGTGGCTGATGTTATTAGGCCCTGTGATGGTGTCCCCTGAATAGATATGTGGGCACAATTGGCAACGGGCTTTGTTGCAAGGATGAGTTCCTGGGTTAGTGGTTCTGTTGTGTGGTATGTGGTTGTTGGTGAGTATTTGCTTCAGGTTGCGGGGCTGTCTGTAGGCAAGGACTGGCCTGTCTCCCAAGATTTGTGAGAGTGTTGGGTCATCCTTTAGGATAGGTTGTAGATCCTTAATAATGCGTTGGAGGAGTTTTAGTTGGGGGCTGAAGGTGACGGCTAGTGGCGTTCTGTTATTTTCTTTGTTAGGCACAGACACACCCCTGGAACTCCGACCAGGGAGATTCTATCTACTACCCAAGATCCATAAACCTGGAAATCCTGGGCAAACTGGACAGTCTCTACGTAAAAGAATAAATGGACACAAATCAGATGTCAAGAATTATAACATTCATAAACCAGTCGGAGAACACTTCAATCTCTCTGGTCACGCAATCACAGACATGAAGGTCGCTATCTTAAAACAAAAAAACTTCAAATCCAGACTCCAGCGAGAAACTGCTGAATTGGAATTCATTTGCAAATTGGATACTATTAATTTAGGCTTAAATAGAGACTGGGAGTGGCTAAGTCATTATGCAAGGTAGCCTATTTCCCCTTGTTTTTTCCTACCCCCCCCCCCCAGATGTTCTGGTTTAACTTGGATTTAAACTTGGAGAGTGGTCAGTTTGGATGAGCTATTACCAGCAGGAGAGTGAGTTTGTGTGTGTGGTTTTTGGGAGGGGGGTGAGGGGGTGAGAGAACCTGGATTTGTGCAGGAAATGGCCCAACTTGATTATCATGCACATTGTGTAAAGAGTTGTCACTTTGGATGGGCTATCACCAGCAGGAGAGTGAATTTGTGTGGGGGGGTGGAGGGTGAGAAAACCTGGATTTGTGCTGGAAATGGCCCAACCTGATGATCACTTTAGATAAGCTATTACCAGCAGGACAGTGGGGTGGGAGGAGGTATTGTTTCATATTCTCTGTGTGTATATAAAGTCTGCTGCAGTTTCCACGGTATGCATCCGATGAAGTGAGCTGTAGCTCACGAAAGCTCATGCTCAAATAAATTGGTTAGTCTCTAAGGTGCCACAAGTACTCCTTTTCTTTTTGCGAATACAGACTAACACGGCTGTTACTCTGAAACCTGTCAGAATGTTTTTTGTTTCTTTAAAAGAGCATGGCTCTCCGTATGCTTTCTACTGAGCATAGAGCCTACTACCCTTGGGCCCCAGTTCAGCAAGCATGTGCCTAGTTTAGGCACATGAGTAGTCCTGCTAAAGTCAACAGGACTGCTTATGTGCTTAAATTTAGGCACATGCTTCAAGTATCTTGTTGAATCAGGACCCTGAGTAGTCTCATTGGCCTCCATGGACTACTCTGGGTAGTAAGCACCGTGCTCAGTAGCTGGCTGTTCAGGCCCAAAGATCAACAAACTGTGTTAGACTGATGCAACTGTAATAACATGACACAATCATCTAATTTACAATACTTTTAACTAACTTGTATGGAAGTTCACTGTTGTTTTTTATTTGTAAAGGCTGTTTAATATTATTATTTTCTAATGCACAAAACTGGTCTAAATAGCACTCTCTCCGGTGTTAGTTAAAATGAATGTAACTTCTAATTAAGACATATATGTGTTCACATTCTTTCCTATAGGAGGACATTGAAGAGCTAATGGATTTTTTGCAGGCTAATAAGAAGTATCATCTGAGTAAAAGATTTGCTTTCAGAGAGTACCTAATAAATAATATACATTTATGGGATTCTCAAGCCTCTTCTCTCTTGAACACAGCAGCAAGCCAGATAACAAGTCTCATTAACAAGATGGAAAGGTAAATATAATCTCTATTTTAACTATTCCTGGTGTCTCCACTCCTACGTTATCTGAGTGACCTGTGGTATTCCTCAAAAATAATTTTAGCTATATCTAATAAAGGTTAATGAATAGAATTTAAAAGTTTACTGAGAAGATTTATTATTTTTAAAATAATTCAATGAATATTTAGTAGCTACCATATTGGTTATTCAGCATCAGAGTGTAATATACTGTCTTTGGCCCTGATCCCTCAACACAGAAATACTGCTGTCTCACATACCCAGTTAGAGCTCATTGACTTCAGTGAGGCTCTAAATGGGTACATCAGTTTATTTCTGTGCTGCATGTTACAGGATCAGGGTCATTGTGTGTGAGTGACTAATATTGCCCTCTGGTAGCAGTCCCACTGAGAGAAAAAGGTACTTTCTACTAATATTAGTGGCTAGAGAGATTCTTTAGCCCAAGTGGTAGAAGCATGTGCTTTTGGAGCTATTAGTTAAGGGTTCTAGTCCCAACCCTTGTGTGTGATCTAGATCTGAATTATGTGTTGCTGTGAATGTGTTCAAATAAGATCTTGGTTATTTTCTTTTCTCCCAGCCTCACTCCATGTCATACAAATACATGTCCAAGAGAATGACTTCCATGTTTGATTATAATATGTGATTTGCTTAACTGGATCATTTAGTTTTAGATTGATGCAGTGTCTTATGAGTAGAGTCAGATAAAATGTTTTTGTCAGTTTCCTTGACTGATGGGAACACGTACAGTTAGACTTATTAACAGATGCCCAGATTCTGCTGCTGGAGGATTATGGCTCCCACTGAAGCCAGCAAAAGTTTGGGGCTGATTATAGATCCTTTACTTATTCAGATAGTACTCACCCATGTGAATAACCCATTTAAGTCAATGGGAATATTTTTAATAAGAATTACTGAACAGGACCCTATGTACATGAAAATCTAGACCTAGATGAAAAGTGCAACTCTGATTCACTTCTAAATTTAACATGTAGGGTGAGGAGCTGGATATATGGTCTCAAATTGGCATGCATAAAAGTTTTCCAAAGGAAAGATGATCTCCACAGTTGACTGAGCTTATAAATAATATAATTGGTATAGATCTTTATTAGCAGACAAGCCACATGCTGCTGGGAATAGTAAAGAATAAATGTTGGCTAAAGTAATAAGTAAAAATGAATTGCAGAAAAAATATTTATTTAACTGTTTTGGGGTATTTCTTTTAGGTCATATAGGCTCTGGGCTGATTCAGATACAGTATTTGAGGATACCGTAGAAATATCCCTGAAGGTAATATGGAGACATAAAAATGATGAAATGGCGCTGGTGAAATGAGCAGTTAAAATTACATGACAGTATAGAGCAGTTTGAGGGAGAACTCTAGCTAGTACCAAGAGAGCTGAAGCATCTGCTAGCCTGGCATGTGGAGAAACTACTGAAAAGTATGCCAGAAAAGTAGAATGTGTCAGTGTGCAGGAAAACAAATTACTAATTTTTCTGTTGATCCTGTGCCCACATCTTTCTTTATATATTTTAGACATATATTGGTGCCAGTTGCCAGTCATCTGGGTGCCATGTATTGCAGAAACAAATATAAAATAGATTAATATAATCCAAACTTCTCAGCCAGTAACAGGACCATATAGACATATTACTATTTAAATTGTTTTCTTTCCTGCTGTTGTTCTCAATTGAAAGGTAAAAATAATAGAAGATCTAGAGTAGGGCTGTCAAACGATTAAAAAAATTAATCGTAATTAATAGGCATTAATAGGCATTTTAATCACACTGTTAATAATAGAATACCATTTATTTAAATATTTTTGGATATTTTCTATGTTTTCAAAGATAGGATCGGGGCTCTGGACTTCAGCTCTGCTCAGTGCTCCGGGCTTCATCCCCCATAGGACTCGGGGCTCCGGTCCCATACAGGGTTCAGGCCTTCAGCTCCCCCTCGGGGTGCGGGGCTCCAGTTCAGCACTTCAGCGTACCCGTGGAGCTGCACACTGGGACTTCAGCCCCCATGCTGCCCGCGGAGCTGTGGGTTGGGGCTTTAGCCTTCCCTCCCTCCCCCCACCGCTGATGCATCCCTCCCAACCCAGAGGAATGCGATTAACGCATTAAAAATTAATGAGTTAATTTTGTTTTCAGTTCATTGCAGGCATTAACTGCTATTGTTTGACAGCCCTAGTTTAGAGGCCCAAAGGAAGATTGATATGAGATACCAAAAGATCATGTTCTGTATCTGCAAGTAGTGCAAAACTAACAGCACTTCATTAGAGACTGGATAACTGTTCATTTAGAGCCAAGTACCTTATTTTTGTAACCTTTGCTCTTCTAGTTAGCCACCTATTGCAATAGCTGTCACCTGTTGAGTCATGACTGCCATTAGACTGTAAGCTCTGTTGAGCAAGGACAGTCTTCCTGTATGCCTGTACTCTGCTTTGCATGTTTTGGATGGTACCATAATGTATGTGCAGCTACGTGTCCAAAACCAATCTTACCACCTCCTTTGTAATGTAATGAAGACCCCACTTCTGCAGCTTGTACCCTTCCATATTTTCACATCACTTTCAAATCATATTAAGCTTTTGGTCTCCTTGAGAAAAGTTCTTTGGTTGTTCTGTAGACATTGTTACTTTGGGAAGGCCCTTAATGAGAAGCTCTAATTAAATAGGCCACTGTGCAGATTTAATCATGAATTCGTAGGAGCCGATTACTAAAATGAAGGAAGAAGTGGGGTTTATTAAACTGGAAAAGTAGCTTTAGTTCATTGTTTAATAACTGTATTGAACTTGAGATGCAAAATAAAAGAAAAATCAATGACTAGAAAAGAGAGAGAGGAGAGTTAGAAGAAAAAAATCTCAGTAGTGGAAAGGCAAGGCCTGGGTAGTTTTTGGTGGTGATACAGTGTGATATTCACGTGCACAAAATACTGCAGCACGAACACGAGTCGTAAGGAAATCCTAATGTAAAACAATGCTTTTCTCTCTCTAACTTTGCATGCTATTCATTGGCTATAATGTTCAGAGGAGTGAGGAAGAATTTACAAATTGGGGGAGGGATGCAGTTCTACTTTCCAGAGAAATCTTGCGATTGAGTTTCTTACAACAGGATTAGTTTTGCACCGAGAGCTACAAACAATATCAGCAAATGGCGTTTCCTCTCACCATATAAGTAATAGGAAGGTTGGATGGAGGATTCCCCAGGTTTTTTTTCATAGTGTCAAATTTTAAATAAATTCTGCAAAGTTAGACACCCTCGCAAAACAAAGTGACATTACTCAGTTATCTTGTGTGACCCTCCTATAACTTCAGACACCCCCACACTCACGCAGCATGTTTGCTTTCAGAAGATTGGCAAGACCTGTGCCTATTTTTTCATTCTTTGGACGTTGATATTGTAAAACTACACAATGTAGTATTTCTGAACATTCTCCAGAGTCATTCTGCTGCAGGCAAAGCTGAGAATCATGCCCAAAACCCAGAAGAAGAATAATTCCATGGTAGGTTGGCCAGAATTTCAATCTTTAATTATAAGGGGAATTGGGGAATATTTACAGACCAGAACAGAAGAAATGTTAAGAGCAAGAAAAGTCTGAACCAAAATTCTGGTCCTTTTAAATTGTATCATTAATCTCGTCTGCTTTTTCATCTTACCCTTCAACTCCCACTTCTCTCATTACAAATGTAGATGTTCCTTTATCAAAACCAGTACACAGTAGATTAGGTACTTAAACATATACTTATGGATGGGATTAAAGGGAATTTTGAGATGCATAATTGTTTTATATCTAGAGATGAAATTGGGCAAATATGTGGATGAGATAGAATACACATAAACAAATTCAGAGGTAGCATAAAACAGGCAAGACATAAATGCTGTAAAGGACTTTTAAAAGCAGAGCTCAATAGAACGTTTAAAATATATTGGATAAAAAGTCAATCGAGATTCATGTGAAAAAGATACTGTAAGAATGTTAACAAAATAAGTAAATGGTGGGTTTCATTATAAAACAGCCACTCTAGGACTCTAGAGAAAATTTCAAACAAAATCTAGAGGCCAGTATTTTCAAACTTGACCATCTAAAGTTAGCATTTAAATAAGAAGCCTGATTTTTCTGGACAGCTCAGCTCCTTTTGAAAATCAAGCTGCTGATTTGGGTGCCTAAATATGGATTTACTCTAACTCTAGGTATTTGCAGTGCTGTTGTAGTTTTGTTGGTCCCAAGATATTTGAGAGACAAGGTGAGTGAGGGAATATCTTTTATTGGAACAACTTCTGTTGGTGGAAGAGAAAGCTTTTGAGCTGGTCTCTTTTTGCCAACAGAATTTGACCCAGTAAAAGATATTACCTCACCCACTGTGTGTCTCTAACTCTAGGTATACAAGTTTGAAAATTTTGCCCATAATATAGTAGGCAAGGATGGATAGTCAGATGTCTCTGGGCCAGATTCCCTTTCCATTCTGCCCTCTTTGCATCACTCAGCGCAAAGGGGCTGGAGTCTGGCCTGGACAACCTACTGAGAATTCTGCCAAGGGTTAGGGAGCTCTCAGTTGGCATAAAGTCGGTGTAGTTGGTTCCCATGCCAACCATGCCCCTTCGCTCCCCCCATACAAACACTGGCTTAAGGGTTGAGGGGGAGTGTAGCTGCATTCTGCCAAATCTCAGCTGGCCCCCTTAGGGAGCTGGGCTGAAGCAGATGTGATCTGTGAATTATGGAGCTGTAACCAGCCATAAACAGCTCCTAGGCTGCCTCCCTTTCTCTATGCTGAATGTGGAAGAGAATCTGACTCTGTCTTTTCCAAAGAAATTTTATACTTTGAACATGGTTCCCTAGACGCAAGAGGACAGGTGTGACGTCTGATTAAAGTATAATTACGCAAGCCATTATTTCTACCACTGTTATATAATTGCAATGAATCTTATGCAAAGTGTAACACGTGGCCAGAAAGGGTTAAACAGCTTGCAGGCTAAGAGTATGTCTACCCTGCCCACG